GGACGGGCCCCGCGCCCCCCGCCCACGCCCCGGGTGGGGCCGGCCCCACCGGGGCCCCCGCCCCGACTGCGCTCAGCTGCGGAGCCGGCACCGGAGCCCAGGGCCGGAGATCCTGAGGCTGCCCCGCCGCTGCAGGGGGGGACAGCCCCGGCCCTTCCTTCGAACAGCCCAGCCCTCCCCGCTCGCCCCTGGTTGGACCCTGAGACTTGCTCCCACCCGCGTGGCCGTGGGCACTGGGTCCCACCAGCCCGGCAGAACCGAGCTGCCCGTCCAGCCTGGGTGACCCACAGCAGCCTCGGATACAGGGACAGGAACGCTGCCACCCTTCGGAGTGGTCTCTGGGCACGGCAAGCCGGACTCCTGGCAAGGGCAGGGCAGGGCTGTCCCCCCAGCTCCTGGTCTCTTGGCCACCCCTGCTCCAACCTCCTCCTCACCCCTGGGGCCAGGGGGCAGCCAGCTCTGGAGGGCAAGGAAGAGAAACCTTCAGTGATGGTTTGCTCCTTCCACCCGTGTCTCCCAGCACCTTTCCAGAGGCTGCAGTAGCATGGCTGGACAGACGTCCCCACCCCTTGATCCCATTCTGGATGTGCAGCAGCCCCCAGACCCACAAGGCAGCCATGACCACAGGGAAGGCTGAGGCCCTGGGGGGGCCCATCCCACAGGAGAGCTCCATCCTCGTGGGGAGCCCTGCCATGAGCACACACCACCAGCTCCTGGAGCTCTTTCCTGGAGCACGGTGCAGGGCTGGTGGGCAGCTGGAGAGGTGGATGTGTAGGGAGCTGCTTCATTTGAGGTTACACAGGACCAGCTATAACAACAGTCGGTGTGAGGCAGACAGGTGACTGCCAGGAAGGTGGGCATGAGGGTGTGAGAGGGACGTGTTGGTACCCCAACACTTTCCCCCAAGAGATGAAACATGGTGAGAGCCCAGCAAATGCTTTATTGCCAAGGACAGCACTTCCCTCAGCCCCTGGGCAGCAGTGATAGATGCTGCCTCACTATGTCCCATACCAGATTGTTCCAGACAAGAAGGTCCTGGGTGCCGAGAGCCAGCCCCGGCACCAGCTGCCCAGCCCAGGGCCACGCAGAGGATGGAGAAGAGCTGGGCAGCCCAGCCTGTGGGACAGGGACACTCCCTTAGCACTAATGCACTGTGCCGTGCTCTGAGACCATCACCGTAAATACTGCCCGTGGGGGTCTCACAAGGGCTGGTGGTCTGCAGACAGCCTTGGGGTAAAAGTGGAGTGTGCTCAGCACACAGGAGCAGTGGGGGGAGGAGTGCAGGGGCCTCGATGCCCAAATCTCCTGAGACGTCAGAAATACCTCTCTGTTGCCCAGTGCCCTGCACACATCCCAGTGACATCCTGCTCACCCCCAGGCCATGTCCCCCACCACCTGTGAGTGCCCTGCTCACGGTGCCCCTCTGCTCCCACTCCCTCAGGCTGATGCTGTGCGGGATGGGGATCAGCCTGTCCCGTGGCACTGGCTCCCTGTGTCCCCATCCAAAGCGGCGCTCAGAGGAGACGTCCCAGCAGCCGAGCATCGGGGGAGTTGCCCCAGGCCACCGGCAGGGCGACGAAGCCCAGCTTGCTGTAGAAGCTCAGCTGCTGCCGATCGGTGGCACTGACCTGGCAAAACACTCCCCGCGACCCTGGAAGGGAGGTGAGACATCAGGCCCCTGCCACCAGAAACCCAGCTCTGGAGCTGGGGGCCAGCGACTGGGACCCCCTCCTCAAGGGGGTCAGCCTCCCCCTTTGGCACTGGGGGCTTGCACCATGCCCTGAGACACAGGTCCTTGTGTCCCCTGGTGCAAGGGGAGGGCACGGTGCGTGGGAGCTGGGTCAGAGAGGGGATGGGGCTCCCCAGTGAGGGCTCCCCCAGCCCCGTGCTGAGAGGTGGGGCCAGCCCCCAGCTCTGGGGTGGGCAAGGGAGCAGTCGGGTTGGGTTGTGCTGGATCAAGGAGGCCCCAGAGCCCCCCGCCCCAGCACAGGGAGGTGATGCTCACCCCCCCGCCCCAGCACAGGGAGGTGATGCTCACCGTTGGCCCGGAGCGCACTGAGCAGGCAGATGGCCAGGCTGCGGCTGGCCCCCACGTCCAGCACACGGGGGGCCGTGCCCAGCTGCACCAGGGAGGGGAAGCGCCGCAGCACAGGCAGGGGCACAGCCGGTGGCTCTGTGTGGAAGAAGAGCAGTGCTTCCTCCAGGGCATCCTGCAGGTGACAGACACAAGTGAAAGAACCCCCTCCGCCCAACCCCGTTCCCACTTCCCCTCTGCTCCAGGTGTCCCCTCACCTGTCCCAGAGCTGGGGCACCCGTGCCCAGGTCTCGGGGGTACTTGTGCCGTATGGCCGGCAGCCAGCTGCTGTCTCGCTGTTGCAGGAAGCCTTCAGCGCAGAGTGCTCCGGCTGCGTAGCCGCAGGGACCACCCTCATCCTCCAGCACAAACGTGTACTCGGGGCTCAGGCTCAGGAAGCTGCCCAGCAGCCTGCCAGCCAGAGCAGGACCAGCGCTGAGCTGCCGCCCTGAGCCCAGCCTGCCCCGGGGAAAGCTCAGACCAGCCAGGCTCCTCCTTCCTGCCCCAGTGGGACAGCACCCCAGTACCCACCAGACCATCCCTTTGAGACCTCCCCCAGTAAAAAAACTCAGCCTCCTTGTCCACCGCCAGCCGTGGTGCAGGCAGAGCTGGTCTGGCAGGGATGTGAGGAGAGGTCACTGCCTCACAGCACAGACCTGCATTGCCCTGCACACAGCCAGGCTCAGCACGCACCTGGCAAGAGGGAGCCCCCGAGGGACCATGTCTCACCTGTCACCGAGGAGATCGGGGTGGGCTGCAAGGATCTTTGCCACTTTGGGGTCACAGTCCAAACTCTCCCGGCACATTCGATAAAGCTCTCCCTGGAAGACCCAGACCCACCTCAGTCTTGGCTCTGCTCTGCTGCTGCCCCTCGGTTTCCTGCTGCCCCCACCACTGGCCTGCCAGAGCACTGTGTACCAGCAGCTGCCCCAGTTGGCCATAAAGAGGGACCCCAACCGGGGCTGTGACCTCCAGAGCATCCTGGCCCGGGGAAGGTACGAAGGTGTGTGCTTCAGCTGCCCAAGGGCACTGGCCTCTGCACCAAGTGATGCACCATGCACCACCTTCTGCTGGCCTCTGTGGCTCGTTGCCACAGCACAGCAACACTTCAAAATGAGAGATTGCCATTCCAGTCAGGCACCCCAGAGCAGCAGCCGCTGAGGAAATGCTGCTCAGCCCCAGGATGGAGCATGCTCAGAGCAGCCAGAACGGCAGCAAAAGCAATACTGAAACTCAAGTCTCCACAGAGCATGTGCAAAGTGGGACATCTCAAAATTTCCCCATCTTGGTCAGATTTGAGTTTGCTGCTGCACACAGGACCAGTGAAAAAAACCTCCTGATAAAAGCATTGCTTCTCAAAGGAAAGGCTGCCCTGATCCCCAAACAGCGAGGGCAGGACAGCACCAATCTGAGTGCCATGCCCAGAATGGGCTGAAGGGCTCAGCTGGATTTTTTCCTCTCCCAAGTTTCACTGGACACAGAGGTTCAGCTTGTTCAAGTTTAGCCTGATCAGATGAAATCTGACAAGGGGCAATTGAAAACAAGCTCTTGCAATGGGAATTGCTGGCAGCCGCAGCCTGATATTATAATCTGCTCTCATGTGCTTGCAACTCCTCCTCTGTTATTTAGAGGCGCTGCAGCTGTGCATTGCCGGGTACTGTACTTAGCAGGGATGTGCAGTTGTGTCTATGGTGGCTGGATTTGCAGCGTTAGCGTTTCCTTTAGCTCGGAGAGGTGGCAGGGTGAGGGAGCATGGTGTTCACTGCAGACTGTATGGTACGTGGGGAACCCAGGGCTCTGCTGGATTTGGCAGCAGTTTAATTTGTGTGTCCATCCACCTCCACATTTTCCCTTTCCCTCCCCAACCCATGGAACTGCTGGGATGTCAAACATGGGCGGGGGATGGTGGGGGGCGGGTGACAGCTAGCAGGCTGACAGAGCCTCTCCAGCAGGGAATCATCCTGTAAACAGGATGAATGTTTGAAGAAGGGACTGATTTGGAGATGAACCTCAACAGGCTCAACCAGAGCTGCAGGCTGATGAATGCTGCAGGAAGTTGTCATCCAGACTTGTCCTGTTCTAGATCTTTTGTGGCATCTGCTCACAGTCACTGCTGGAAATCAGCGCTGAGGGTGCTCTGGAGATTGTCTTTGCAACCTGGTGGCCCCAAGTCTGTGCTAGTTTATCTGTGGCTGTGCCTGCCACTCACTGCTGAGCCAGCTCTCCCTCTCCTGCTGCTGCCTGCCAGGCTGCTCGTCACAGGGAGGAATGTGATGGTCCCTGCCAAGGCCACTGGCCACAACACCCACTTTCCAGCCCAGGGGACTGACATGCTGCTGGACACAGCCCTGGGTGACCTGCCCCAGGCTGGCCTGCTCTGAGCAGGGGTTGGACCTCAGAGCTCCCTTCCCACCTGCATCACGCTGCCCTGTGAACTCAGCCTTGGGGTCAGCAGCAGATGAACAAATATCTCGTTAGCACACATACAGCACAGGCTATGCAAAGGTGAGCTGCAGCCTGAGAGGTGTGGGCCACCCCTTTTGGCCCTGGCTCTCACCTTGTCCAGAGGCAGCAGTGGGCGCAGGACATAGAGCTGGCTGGATGGGAAGAGTGGAGGTGGGTGGTAGAAGAGGTCACAGCTGTTCCCCACGGGCAGCAGTGCCTGGAAGAGATACAGTCTGTCAAGGAGCAGGTTGTCCTGGCTCCAAACCTTGTCCTGGAGGCAGCAGGAGGAGGGTCCCTCTGAGGCACCCTAAACCCCAGGAGCTGCAGCCAAACAGCAGAGGTCCAGGGCAGCTCTGCCTTCCCAAGCTTGCAGCAATCCAATGGCAGGGCCAGCAGCAGCTGGGATCCTGGCTTCCCAATGTCTCCTTCAGCCCACACAGACATGGCCATGTTCTTACCTGCAGCTCTCCAAAGAGGCCCCCACGACGCGCCCAGGGCTCAGCGTCCCCCCTCAGTAGCATCGGGGCAGTGATGCTCTGGCACCCTGGAAGCAGCAGAAGACAGACACACGTGAGGTGAACAAAATCCTACTGGGCCAGGAGGAGATCAGCTTCCACCACACAGCAACATCACGATCACACTGGTCACAGCTCCATGGATCTGCCCCCACAGCTGTGCAGCCCAGGCACAGGACCTTGTCTGGGCTTGGGCAGCCAGCCCCATGCACTGGGGTAGCAGCACACCCTCCACAACAGGGCTTGAAGTGGGGAAACAGGGAACGACATCATCTTGCCTTCCTGAAAAGTGTCAGGTAAAGATGCAGTTACTGGCCACTGCTGGGCAGCTGCAGCCTGGCACAGAAAGCAGCACCTGTGCCTGTGGGAACTTGCCCTGCATGTGGCTGCTTCTCTGTGGAATTGGTTCAAGGCACATGGCCCTGTCCCACACTGGTCTCGGAGATCCTCTCAAATTGTCATCTGGTAACACTTCATGGTTTGTAAGAAGTCACAGTGCAACCAAGGAACCCCAAACCAGAGGAACGGGAGCTCCCAAAGTGATGCACAGGCATTCAACATCCAGCCTCACCTCTGTCTCTCAGGGCATTATTGCTCCCAATGGCCCATGGAGAGCTTTTATCAGAAAGGCTAAGAGGTCCTTAGATTAAAAGGGCTGAGGAACCATGCCCTAGAAATGAGCATTCCCTCTAGACTGCAAGAGATGGTGAAGATCTGCTCTGATGACTGCTCTGTCCCCAGCAGCAGTGCCCCATCTTGCATCAGTGTGTCAGGGCACTCAGGGCTGCCAGGCTTCCCATGGCCATTTCCACTCTGCTCAGCAGGCAGGGTATGGGAAAGGGCAGCCGGATGGCAACTGCTGGCTGCTGCTGTGGGGCTGGAGGTGACAGAGGGCATCAGCCAGGTCCCCACTGCCCAGGCAGGTGAGCCAGGGCAGCACTGGTACTTACAGCCAAAGCAGCTTCCCCAGGTGCCCTTGGGGTCAGGGTCACAGAGGAGATGGCCATCTGCAAGGGAAACAAGGTGATGAGCATGGGTCAGCAGCAGGGAAGGTGTCAAGGGGAGGTGTGGTCCCAGGAGAGACCCTGGCACCTTAGGCGAGACACAGGGACCCCAGACCTCTAGGAGGGGGTCCCAGACACCTTCACCTCTTTAGGGGGAGAAACAGTGGATCACCACAGAACAAGCTTCAGATGCCCTGGGTGTGCCACAGTGCACGGGGGCCTCTGCACTTCAACATGGCTGGATTTGGCCAGGGTGCAAACACATGCTAAGGGGGCCCCAGGAGCTGGTTGAGGGCTGGCATCAGCCACCTACCCAGCCAGAGGATGAAGGCACTGGCGGCCAACAACATGTTGCGGATGTCCCAGAGGTAGGGGTGGAGGTCGTAGAGCAGTGCCCGTCCGGCGCTGCTGACGAAGTGGCTGTGCAGGCGGCATGTCTGAGCGCAGAGCAGCTGGAAGGACTGGGCTCGGCCGCGCCACCGCGTGCCCTGTGGATGGACCAGGCATCAGCGCGACTGTGACAGGCACCGGTCTCCCACGAAGCGCCTGGACCAGCCTTACCTCGCAGGCATCAGGTGCCGTGGCCGGGACCCCCACACTGAGGCTGTTTGCCCGGAGCCACCGAAAGTGCTCCAGGAGATGCTGCGCCTGTGGCCCATGATGGTAGGGCAGGTAGAATAGCTCCACCAGCATCCGCACCTCCTCCAGAGTCAGCAGTGCTGTGGAGTTGGACCTGGCCTCCTCAAGGGTCATCAGTGCCTTAGGGGTGGATCCAGCCTCCTCTGAAGTCAGCGGTGCCGTGGGGATGGACCTGGCCTCCTCTGAGGTCACCGGAGCTGTGGGGTTGGACTTGACCTCCTCTAGGGTTACTGGTGCTGTGGGAATGGACCTGGCCTCCTCTGGGGTCACTGGAGCTTTGGGGCTGGATCTGGTCTCCTCTGGGGTGTCCAGAACTGTGGGGATGGACCTGGCCTCCTCTGGGGTCACTGGAGCTTTGGGGCTGGATCTGGTCTCCTCTGGGGTGTCCAGAACTGTGGGGATGGACCTGGCCTCCTCTGGGGTCACTGGAGCTTTGGGGCTGGATCTGGTCTCCTCTGGGGTGTCCAGAACTGTGGGGATGGACCTGGCCTCCTCTGGGGTCACTGGAGCTGTGGGGCTGGATCTGGGCTCCTCTTGGGTCACTGGTGCTGTGGGAAAGGACCTGGCCTCCTCTGGAGTCACTGGAGCTGTGGGGCTGGACCTGGTCTCCTCTGGGGTTGCTGGTGCTGTGGGGCTGGTCCTGTCCTCATTGAAGTTAAGTGGTTCTTCCATGGGACCAGATCCAGCCTCCTTCAGGGTCAGTGGTACCGTGGGGCCAGACCCAGCATCCTCTGGGGTCAAGACAACCTTGAGGCTGGATTCAGCCTCCTCTGGGGTCAATGGTGCCATGGGGCCAGGGCTAGCATCAACCTCATCAGTGAACAGAGCCAGGGGCCCAGGGCTGGCGCCAGCCCCATCAGTGACTGGTGCTGGGGGGTCAGGGCTGGCACCAGCCCTGGGCCCTGGGGGCGTCTGGGGCATGTCAGGCCTGCTGGCCTCAGGCTGGGTGCTGCTGGGGGACTGGGGGAGGTTGTCACCCCCTGTCCTAGCATCACTGGTGGGTAGAGGAAGGTTCTGGCTGGTGTTGGCCCCATTACTGCAGCACATTGCAGGGTCTGGGCTGTGGAGGGTCTTGGTAGCCACTGGGATTCCTGCAGACTGGGCAGTCCCAGCTGGGCTGAGCAGAGCAGAGGAGGACTCACAGCTCTCTCTGCTCCCTGTGGTGAGCTGGTCCCCATCCCCTGTGGGGCTTTGCCGACTGCTGGCAGGGGTCCTGCTCCCACTACCCTTCTCAGGCTCCGAGGTCACCTTCCTCCTTGACTCCCCTGGTGCCACGTGGCAGGGCTCAGGGCCATGCTGTTCTGCCTCACTGGGAACGGAGTTGTGGGGCTGGGGGTCGGGCATGACCTCCTGTCCTCCTGCTGTGCTGGGCTGGAGCTTCGTTCCTCCCTTGAGGGTGATGTTGGGGTGTCCCGGGGTCTTTCCTCCTGGCAGAAACGAGCAAGGGGGTAGCCCCTCTGGCACCTGCGTGGAAACTGCTGCCCATGGGGCAGGACAGCCTAGGGGGTGGCCATGCCGGGAAGCTCCATCTCTGAGCTGGCAGGGACCAGGGACCTGCCAGGACCATAAGCTTTGCATCGCTCTGTGCTCTGGAGTTTCAGCCTCTACAGCTGGTGAGGCCACAAGCTTTGCAGAGGCAAACAGTGCATGCACCTGGCTGAACCCCGTCTTGCAGAGCTGTAGAACGGCCAAAGCTCCCATGCTGCCAGCCAAGGAGATCCCCTCTAGGATGCAGCCAAGGCAGGGGCACCCACTGTGCAGCATGGCACAACGGAGACCCACGCCTGCCCACCATGACACACACAGGGCTCACTGCAGCACCAGGCAGAGCGGCCCATCCAAACGGGCAGGGCATGGGGCTTCCTCACCCCACCAAGCTCCCAGCAGAGCCAGTCCAGTGCTCTGGGGGGATGAGGGATGCTGCACGGTGCGAGTTCATCACCTACCTGGTTCCAAAGCCTGCCGGTTTATCTCAGCCACCCAGTCAAGCAGCGCCAGCTCCAAGGCCTCCTGGGGGCTGTAGCTCCCCTCTTGTGTCCCTTGGCTGTCCCCCAGAGCAGTCGCAGTCTCCATCCCTAAGGAACTGGAGTTCATCAGCCTGGGCAGCCCCGCTCTTTGCTTGATGGAGCTATCCCATGCCACACTGAAAGCGGGCAGACCCCCTCAGTGCCCCAAGGAGATGCCCCAAAGGATGGATCCCACGCCCCAGCATGTCAGGTGGTGCCCAGCCAGGTGAGACACCTCACCCAGGCTGCCCTACAGGAAAGCCTGCAGGGTCTTGGCAGAGACAGGTAGCAATGGCCAAGGCCCTGCCCCAGGTGCACAAGTTCACTGCCAGTGCTGGGGTGCCACGTACAGAGCTGCATAGGGGCCACATACCTGCGTGATCAGGGTGGGCACAGATCCTCAGCTCACTCTGAAACCAGCTGCCCAATGTGTGTATGGGGATGAAGTTGGCCTGGAGTTCACAGTTGGGGTTGAGGAGCAGTCCATGGAGCCTGGACATGAGGCCAGGGGCACGTCCCGTGTAGGGCCCCAGGAAGACACGTCTGCAGTCATAGTCGTTGGCATACAGGTTGTCCCAGATGACAGGGCGGCGCCGCAGGACACCCTCCACCTCCTCCAGCAGTGTGGCTGAGAGCTCCTGTGACACCACCTTTGGGCCTGGAGCATCACGGTACAGATGTGCATGGAGCAGCAGACAACACAGCCCATCATGCACACTCACAACAGGGACATGCACAGGTCTGGACGCTGAGCATGGAGATGGAGGTCAGGTCTCCTCACCCACCTTCCCTAGCCAGGAGGAGAGCAGACCCACTGCCTGCCTGGCAGGGGCTGCACACCCCGACAGAGCTGGGTCAGCCACTCACCTGTCCAGATGACACCAATGCCCGGGAGCAGCTCCTGGCCAAGGGTCAGCAAGTAGCAGGACTTGGTGGGGCTGGGAGAGCAGAGAGAGCTGCAGTACTCTGGGGAGAGAGCACAGAGCATCCCCTGAGGGGCAGGAAGAGGCTGCCTGGGATCCATGGATAGGTGCCAGGGAGATGCGTGGTGCAGGGAATACAGCATGCATGACTGCTGAAGCACCAGCCATCTGCAGCCTGGTCCTGCCCTAGTCCTGAGATCTCCAGGGCTCCCGCAGGAGCAGAAGTGGGCTGGAGGAAGCTGTGGAGGCTGCCAGGGCACTCAGCTCTCAGCAGACACAGGTGCTGGGTACAGCCAGCCAAAGGGCACCCTGGTCTGCTTTGGGGTACCACGGCTGGCCAAGCACCGGGCTCCTAGGGAGGGGGTGGCTGGGGCTGCAGGGCTGCAGTTGGTACCTGTAGGGCAGAAGAGGAAGACGGAGGGTTGGCCCAGCTCCTGGTACACCTCGTTGGCCACAGACGCCTGAGCCTGTGCCAGGGAGGGGAAGACGTCTCTGTCAGCTTGGCACATGCAGGGGTCGATGTCGTCGAAGAGCAGTGCGAAGGAGCAGCACCCCATGGCAGCCACCTGTGGACATGGGCACGGGCTGCTAGGATCCCTAGGCAGCAGAGACAAGGAAGCAGCGAGCCCCTGCTGCCTGGACAGCAGAGGTGTGGGGCACCTGGACAGATAGGGCGGGCAGAGCTGCCCTCACCATGTCCCCCATGCCTATCCAGCAGATGCCCCACACAGCCCCATGGCCATGGCCCACCTCGCTCCAAACCCACAGGGCAAACACACCATGCCAGAGGCTTTTTGTCCTCCCTGGGGACCGGGGGCTCAGCACCAGCCTGCACTGGCCTCCGGTGCTGCCCAGCAAGCCCTGGGGCTTGGCTGGTCCCTTTCCTGTCCCCAGCTCTGCCCACTCACAGCCGGGCATCCATGGAGCCCTCAGCTCTCTGTCTGCCACCGGGCACCCCACAGGGCTGCTCCCTGATGCGCAGCAGCAGGAGGGATTTACAGCCCCACATCAGCCTTTTGGGTGGGCGTGGGGGCCCCCACACAAGCACACATGCCTCTCGCCTGGGAGCGGTGGGATGAAGGAATGGCCCCACGGTACCTGCCTGAGTTTTTGCTGCAGCAGGAGCCGATCCCCGGCACTTGAGAACACCATGTCCTGGCCTGCAGAAATGGCGAAAACAAACTCCACACCCTGCTCTTGGGCAGCTTCAATGAGAGACCTCATGCGGGCTGGGGACAGAGCAGAAGGGGTGCTGTGAGCGCTGGGAGGCAGGAGATGGAGGGAGACAAGGGATGGAGGGAGAGGGAACCATAGTGGCCCGAATGGAAGGAGCTGAGGGCATCAGAAGGCATAAGAAAGCATCTGGAGGGGAGAGGTCCAGGGGAGACAATTCCCAGTTTCTTGGGACACAGAATGCTCTCCACAAGGGTTTGTGGGCCCTGGCATATTCGAACATATTGCCAGACACCCACATAAGGATCTTCCCATGCTGGGTGGGCTCCTAGACAATTCCATGTCATGGGCAGGGTGTGGGGAAGCTCCTTGTGCCGCGCAGGGCCTGGGGGGATCCCTGCAACGGGCAGGTTCCTGGCAGGAAGAGTGGTAACAGCCAGCCTGGCCCTGGCTGAGATGCAGACCACCCTTGAGGACCCAGGATGCCTCAGCCCACCCATGTTGGGGCCCAGCAGAGCCGCTACCTGCCTCATGCTCTGTGTAGGGCTCTCTCCAGAGCAGTCGGTGCTTCAGCTCATCCTTGGGCGCGTACATGTAGCAGTTCAGCCCCCGGTGTTTCAGCCTGTGCAGCAAGGAGAAGGGGTCACCCAAGGCTCCAGATGGGCTCTTGGCAAAGAGACATCTGGGCAATTGCTAGCCAACAACAGCAAGAGCTCCTCGGCACATGGTGCCCTCTCCTTCCCCAGAGCTGCACCCCGTCCTGCAGGCTTCCAGCCTCTTCCCACACAGAGCCCCCCAGACTGCAGAGCCACAGCTCTTCCCCTGCACAGGGAGCCCTGCCCTGCTCACTTTTGATGGCCACATGGAGGCATAAATCTCTGCCACTGCTACCAGTGCTCAGCCCAACAATTTGTGTTGTTTAGAGACCTCCAGAAAGAAAGTGCATCTGGATGAGCAAGTCTTAGAGACAAGCTGACGTTGCCTCATGGGAGCTGGGTTGAGTTAACACCCTTGCTGTGGAAAAAGCATGTGGGAGGGACCATCTTGGGCTAAACAGCCTGTTTTAACCACTTGATGAAGTCCTGTGATGATGAAAAGGTCAACGGCCTGAGCAAGGAATGGAGGACAGGCAAACAGCCAGAGCAGCCTCTGGGGGAGGAAGGGTGGATCCTTGGGGGAAACTGTGAACAAAATGAGAACAAAATGGGCAAGGAGACAGAGGATGGGGCTGGAGCAATGGAGGGAGCAGCTCAGTGGTCTGCTGCTCTGTATGGCCCCCTGAGGATGCAGGCAGCTCCAGCCCTGGAGTCAGGCCAAACCACCCCTGCAGCTTTGCAGTACCTCTTTTGGGGCTTGCACTGAACCCTGTGGTAGCACTTGGCATCTTGTGTAAACATGTTTGGGGTGGGCTTCGTTTCCCTTTCTCTTCAGCTGTGCTTCTAATTGCGTAATCAAGAACCAAGTTTGTTTGTAGCCCAAACACGCAGGCTGCAAGGTTGCCTGTTGTGACGAGTGACTCCAGATGAAGCAGGTATGTACAACTTAGGTGCTTCTCCGGGTGTGAGAGGTCTCTGTGGAGCAAGACCAGTGGAGAACACCCTGGAAAGCCGGCACCTCACCAGTTCCTCAAGCTCAGTGTCCAGGAGGGGGCTGCACCTGCCAGGACTCAGCCTGTGGTACCTCCCTGGGAATCACACACACCTGGGGAGCCCTCACCACTGCAGACCCCCTCACATCGTTCCCTTGCAAAGCCCACGTCCTGTCTCCAGGCTGGCCTGACTCCACCAACAGTCACCAACAGCTGTGTCATTCCCAGTTCATGCCTTGATCACTTGAACAGGTCAAGACCTTCAAAGCTATCACTCTACAATGTTTTTTGCAGCTACTGGGTCTCACTGGGGCTCTTTTGCACTCTTGTATTTTTCCATCTCTTCTCCAGTGAGACACCAGCACCGGACACAGGCTGCAGGCTCCTCACAACCATTGGGCTGTCCCTTGCCTGCCCTGGTCTCCCTTTCCCCACACTGTGGCCAGACATGTCCTGCACCACCTGCCCAGCTCATGCTCAAACACCTTTTTATTCTGGCTGTGTTAGGTGCCCTTTCAACAGAAGGGGACCCAGAGCAGGCTGTGTATTCACTGCTGGGATGATGTCTGTGCCACATGCTACTGAGGTGTGACACAGACCTGGCAGCAGCTGCTGTGCACACCCTGCCAGCGAGGCTCGCAGAGCTGCTCCAGAGAGCCTGCACCCTTCTCTGTTTCACCCAGTTAACGTGGGGTCCAGCACTGCCACTGCAACGGGGACCGGGATTCATCACTGGCATCAGCAGTAACTCTGCTTTAACTGAAGTCCTTTCACAAGGAATTCACGAGCTGCTGCTATTAGAATCACAGAATGGTCTGGATTGGAAAGAACCTTAAACAATTATCCAGTCCAACCCCCTCCCATGGGCACAGACACCTTCCACTAGACCAGGTTGCTCAAAGCCCCACCCAACCTGATCTTGAAGACTTCCACAGCTTCTCCGGGGAACTGTTCCAGTGTCTCATCACCCTCACAGTAAAGAATTTCTTCCTTCTGTCCAATCTAAATCGACCCTCTTCCCGTTTAAAACCATTACCCCTTGTCCCGTCACTACAGGAGGAGTAAAAAGTCTGCCCCATCTTTCTTATAAGCCCCCTTTAAGTACTGAAAGGCCACTATATGGTCTCCCTGGAGTTTTCTCCAGGCTGAACAACCCCAACTCTCTCAGCCTGTCTTCATAGGAGAGGTGTCTTTCCTGTGCTGAGGACCCCAGAGCTGGATGCAATACTACAGGGGATCAGACTGCACCATCATAAGGCCCTTTCTGGCCTCAAAAAACACAAATTCCTTCCAGAGTCTCCCCAGCAATCCAAGACTCACTGGAAATTATCAGGACAGGGCAGACACCTCCCTAGACAGCGCTTTTGGCACCCCTGTATGAAAGCCATCTGATAGACTCATTTATTTTTATTTATCCTCCTTAATAGATGATGTTTTACATTTTCCCACGTTGAACAGACTGGGAAGCACTTCATGTACTACACGGTACAAGTGCCTCATCTTGTTTCTTTCCAGAGAAGAAAAACACCGATGAACATATCGGTCACATGTACAAACATGTGAACATAACATCCCAGACCAGTACCAGAGAAGGCTGTAACTAGACCTCCTCATTCCTGATACACTTTAAAACATCACACCTTGTTTTCCCTCTTGCATGTTTCCTCCAAATTTTCTCAGCTACATTTTTTCTGTATCTGCATCACCGCGCTATGGTCCTTACTCGCAGTTGTGCCCACCCACACTGTCCCCAGTGCACTCTCACAGCATGACCAGCACATTTCCCACACAGCACATGGCTGCCAGTGCCACCACCAGCACAGTCACCGGCACACGGCACTGCTGTCTGGCCCACAGCCCAGCCATCACCAGCACACTGCCCACGCTGTCACCAGTGCACTGCCCACGCTGTCACCAGTGCGCTGCCCACGCTGTCACCAGCACACTCTCCACATCATCCTCATGCCATTGTCAGGGCACAGAATCACAGAATCTTCATGGTTGGAAGGGACCTTTGAGATCATCGAGTCCAACCAAAAAAAACAACACCAAAACCACATACCAGCAAAACAAAAAAACCCAACATCCCATCACCACAACAATCACCACACCCAACCATCTCAGGCACTAGATCATGCCCTGAAGTGCCAAATCCCTCCAGGGATGGTGACTCCACCCCCTCCCTGGGCAGGCTGTTCCAGTGCCTGCCCACTCTCTCAGTAAAGTAATTCTTCCTAATATCTAATCTAAACATCCCCTGCCACAACTTCAGACCATTTCCTCTAGTCCTGTCATTATTCACTTGGGAGAAGAGGCCAACACCCACCTCTCTACAACCTCCTTTCAGGTAGTTGTAGAGAGCAATGAGGTCTCCCCCCAGCCTCCTCTTCTCCAAACTAAACAAGCCCAGTTCCCTCAGCCTCTCCTCATAGGACTTGTTCTCTAGATCCCTCACCAGCTTGGTGGCTCTCCTCTGGACACGCTCCAGCACCCACACTGACCAGTGTGCTGCCCAGCCCATGACCACCATGCTGACCACACCAGGTGCTCCACGGGAGGCCCTGCGGGTCCTTAACCTGTTGGTGACAGGTCCCGTCAGCGGCAGGTCCTCTCAGTGCAGCTCATCCCTGATGAGCATCCCATCACCGATGGCCAGTGCGTGGGCGTCTGCTGCCAGGAGAGGGCTTCATCTCTCCTGCATGGATCAACTCCATGCCAGTGTGATTCTCACAACCAGCCAGTGACAGATCCTGCCTGCAGCCTGCCATCACAGGAACACATGGTGACACACAGATGTACATGGGGACTCACAATGACACAAGGGCCCCCTCCACACCAGGCAGGGATGGCAGCCGCAGGCTAAAGTGGCCACCTGTGCCCACGGTGGAGTGATGCAGGTTTGCTGTGCTGTTTCCACAACGATAAGCCTGGCTCCAGTGAGGCCAGGCTGGCTGGAAGCACCCGCTTGGTGACCTCACTGGGAGTGTGGAGCAGCGGGGACAGTGGCCCCAGGCAGGGTGAGCTGGCTGCTTGTTGTGGGTGGTAGTGGGCACACAGCATGCTGTCCTGTGGCCAGCACATACACAGGGGCTTGTGCCATGTGGCGCTGCCCATGCCTGCGCGGTTCAGAGATGAGGATGTGGGGACTCATCCTGCCAGGTGGGCAGGATGGTGGGCTTCCAGCCTGCTGAACACCCCCACATTCTCTCTCCCATGGATCTGACACCCCTCCTGCACATGGGCTGGCCGTAGCCAACCCACATCACACTGCAGTTGTGGCAGAGCAGCTTTTCTGGTGCCTCCAGAGGCAGCATCATCAGGCTCGTATAGTCCCCACAGTCCTCTCCAAACCCTTCCCAGCTGCCACCTCTCCTCCCACGGTGCAGGCAGCAAGGTCCGAGCCCGTCTCACTGACAGCTCCCTGTGGATCTGCAGCACCAGCATGCAGGAGCTGGTGCCCACCCAACCCCTTCCGGGACCCATCCCCAGACCCCATCCCCTTGGAGCGCCCAGCCCTGGCCCAGGCCCCTCAGCCAAAAACATCTGGCTGCAGCTGGGCCGTGGCAGAGTCCCAGCACCATCTGCCGGCACAGGGCAGCACAGCCTACACGTGTCCAGGGATCTTGGGCTCAGCCACCAAATCCAGACCCAGACCTGGGGAGCCTTTCCCTGGGCTGGATCCCAGGGTGCAGGAGGGCTGGGACAGAAGGTGCACTGGGAGAAGCCTGAGACACCTTCACTGCCATTGCCCCAGTGTCCCAAAGGCAGGCCAGCCCCAGGAGCCTCCCTCCAGCACGTTTTTCTCACTACTCCTGCCTCCACAGCACTCTGGTTTCCACCTTATCCCTCTGCCACAGCCTAGTACCTTCAGAGAGGAAAATTCAGGATACTTGCCATTGAAAGAGAAGTTTCCTCTGATCCATAGACCATGGTCTCCCGTAGAAACCTGTAAAAGGGGAATAAAAAGAATCAAAATGCAGTTGTCAGTAAATGCTGCAAAACAGAGTGTCCCTGTACTACTCCAAGTGGCTGCTCTTAAACCCAGAGACCCACCAGTTGTTCCCTCTGCATAGTTCAAATGTCTGTTATTTTGCTGTGGTCTTGCTGGCCATTGGTATTCAAGCAAGTGGATATAATGTCTGTGGTTCCATCCTTCCCAGAAAGAGGCATCTGGGGAGAATTGCCCAAGGTAGCACTTAACCTGGGAGGAGAAGTTTGCACAGTAAAAGCCAAGCCTAGAGGAGATGGCTGAGGGCTGGCTAGGTTATAAGGCACCCTAGCACGATTTTGGGGTGCACCAAAGCACTGAGCTATTGTACATCTATCCCAGAGTTTTCTGCCTGGGGATTTTCCTCTTTACAGAGATCAGCTCAGTGTCTCTTTGCATCTCTCTGTGTCTGTGTAGTGTCAGGCTCTGTCAAGTAAAGCATCATCACTCCTGTACGGGCTGTAAAAGCTGCTCTCTCTGTCTTTAATCACTGCAAAACTCAAACTGTGCCAAAATTGCACTGACACAGCTCTCCCCTACACCCTGCAAACACAAACCCACATTGCAGCAGGGCAGGACTTTAAGGCATCATCCCTGTCCCATGGCAAGCTGTTTAGATCAGGAACCCACAAACAAACCGTGGGGGTACCCACAAGTGCAGGGACTGTGACTCCACAAGACATTTCACAGACACCTTGTCTGTCTCCCACTGGAAAACACCATTCCCATAAGCTTGTGAAGAGAAAATCCAGAGAGGGAGAGCACACCTGGGAGCAACCTTACCAGTTGTCTGCTGGCAAAGACATTCATCAATGAGCACCAAGGCTGGCTGCAAGGATGTTGCCCTTCCAGAAAGTTCACATTAACAAAACCAAATGGAGGAACTACAGATCTGCAGTCAGCAAATTACCAATTTTTTCTTAACATTTCCACTTCTGCTGCTTGCAGGCTTGAGGTGGTTGTTGTGCACCAGTATCTGACACAAGCTTGAGGCTGCAGCACCGCAGCTGCTGACAGTCTGCCCTGTGCTCTGCATGGCAAGGAACCAGTCTGTGACTGGGTAGTGAGCAGCAGAACTGCAGGACATGCAGCACCCCTTCCCCTGTTGGGACCACTTTCAAGGAAGGGCCCTTCCACATGTAGGAAAACCTGGGAGGTGCAGAGGTGTCCACAAAACCAGCGAGAAAGAATACCCAGTGGGAAGCAAGCCGGTTTACTTGGGGGCAATGGGAGAATAGGCAGGTAAATGGGTTTGGAGAGATGAAGATTTGACAGCTCCTTAAAAAGGAGGTTAAGTGGAACCTGTAAGCGTTCCAGCCCAGACCTGAAATTTATCAAGAGAAGGATCATCAGTCACTTCAAATCTCTGCAAGATCTGGCAGCTGCAATGTGAAGTCTCACAGAAAATATATTACTTCTTGAACAGTGGTGGCAATTAGCCGCCAAGGCAGCTTCCCAGCTTTGGATGGGCTCTGCATCACGAAAACTTTTACATCAGTCAATGCAAGTTCTAGCAGCCAAAGCCAACAGGAGCAGATGTTCAGGGAAGTGAGCACATTCACTAAACTGGGTGGTGCACAAGGACAGATCACGATGACTCTGTTAGTCTGGGAGAAAGGACCAGCTCTCAGCATCTGGCACGAGAACAACATTGTCCACAGCTGCATTTCCCCAAAGTACCTGAGTGCACGGGAGCTGGTCTGCCTGGAGGGGACCCCAATGTCCTGCTCCCTTTGGCAGGAGCCCACCCGGCAGCCCTCAACACCAGCCTGGGGCAATGGTGTGGCAGGGTGCCCCACAGCACACACCAAACATTATCTTCTTTGCAGGGAGATCTTCTACCTGCTTGAACATCTCTACATGGTTGTTCCATCTACTTTGAAATCATATATATTCGCCTTGCTAGCCATGCCCCACCAAATTTGTGGCCACTCAAGGATCCCAGCAAACATTTCGCCCAAAGACAGCAAACATTTCCCCCAAATATATTTATACATAATAAATAGATTTTCCACTTCCCAATCCATAGGAACACCCGCTCAGCTCACGTGGAGGTCCCAGGAGTCTCTGTACATCACCTGCTTGCCGGCGCCTCACTCACACTTTGCTGTGAACTGACACTGCCTTGCAAGTATGACACTCACCACCTACACGTGCCCTGCCAGCAACAGCTGAGTTGAAAATGCCATCCTAGCGTATTCTGCCCAGTAAACTGGCTTAAATTGTACCAGCAAAATCCTGCCTGCACCTGCAGCTGCATCTCCAAAGGAGTGATGTTGGCACTGTTTTTTTAGAGACAGATGAGCACTGACGAGTGATGCTGCACATTTGCACCTCAGCTCTCCCATAGCCCAGATCACTACAGCAGTAACCCATCAACACCACTACTTGCCAAACTCTGGGCCACCTGGGATGTCCCTCAGCAGTTTCTTCACAACCATTAGCAAAGTCCCGATGAACACATGAGGAAGCAAAGTCCCTAGACCCCAGCTGTTCCCTAGCTCCTTCTCTGTCCTGGGAGTGGTCACCCAGAGGCATCAGTCCGTCCACACTCTCTGGCTGCTGCTAGCAGTGTCTGGGGTGCCAGGAGGCAGCAGGGTGCTCTGCGGAGGACATGCTGCCAGCACCAGCCTATGTTCCCTGCCAGGGCATGTGCTACCAGGGTGACGGATGGCTTTCCTTCCTCACTCTCTAAGGACCTCCTCCTCCTGGAGTGGCTCTGCTGGCAGCATGCGTGTCCTTCCCTTTCCCACATCAGCTTTCCTATATAAACGATTCTTTCTGACTCATATTTCTTTTTACTATCAGCTTCCCCATCCCTGCACTTTCTATTTATTTTGTGCTTATTTGCACGGTGCTTTTGCTTCCTCCCAGGCAAGGCAGTGGAGAGTGTGCTTCAGCGGGGTACTGCGCTGCCAGGAAAAGTGGAGACGCTTTTGCCTACTGGGTGCCAAGGCTGGCCCAGCTCCAGAAGTGCCATGCTGCAGAAACAGGAGTTGGGAGTGGGAGGGGTGGACAGACAGAAGGACAGGGCTGAGCCATATGGAGCTGCCAGGAGAGAGCGGGTTCCTCCTGGCCAGCCCTGGCAGCCAGGCAGCGTTTTGCTGCAGGCAGGGAGGCGGGAGGGGCACACGCCGGGATGCTGCCCCCACGCCCAGGGCAGAGAAAAACACACTGCATCATGCTGGCGCCAAGAGCAGCGGGTCCCCAAGCCTCACTGCTCTGCTGGGATGGCTGCGGGGGGCAGCGGTGCTCTGGGGAAGAGCTGGGGAGCGTTGGGGTGGGGGGGGGGGGGGCTGGTCCCGTACCCTGGGATGGCTGCGGGGGGCAGCGGTGCTCTGGGGAAGAGCTGGGGAGCGTTGGGGTGGGGGGGGGGTGTGCTGGTCCCGTACCCCTGGGCAGAGATAGGGTGCTGTGCAGGGGCCCGGATCCCTGCCTCCCCAATACCCGGGGTCCCTTCCCGGTCCCTGTTCGCTCTTGGTGGACGGGGCCAGCCCCTGCAACGCCCGGGCAGGAGCACCGGTCCCAGCCGCGGCCCCGGAGGGACCTACCTTCCACCACGCCGCAGAGGAAGCGCGGCCGCCCCGCCATACCCGCGCAGGAGCGGCCCTGCCGGTGCCGAGGCGGGCGGAGCGGTGCGCGGGGGGAACGGAGGGATGTGCGGAGGGATGAACGGAGCGACAGAGGGATGCGCGGAGTGACGCGCGGAGTGATGGAGGGATGCGCGGAGTGACGGAGGGATGCGCGGAGGGCAGCGGAATGCGCGGAGGGATGAGCGGAAGGATGGAGGGATGCGCGGAGAGATAGAGGGATGCACGGAGGGATGCGCGGAGGGATGGAGGGATGCGCGGAGAAATGGAGGGATGCGCGGAGGGATGCGCGGGGGTATGGAGGGATGCGCGGGGGTATGGAGGAGTGCGCGGAGGGACCCGCGGAAGAACGGCTCCGCCGCCTGCCCTCCCCCGCGGAGACGCGCCCGCCGCAGCGCAGGGGGCGGCCCCGGCGGGTGGGACCGCGGCGGGGCCAGGGCGCGGGGCGGGGCGGAGGGGGGGACCCCGCATAGCCCCCGGGCAAAGCCGCCCCGCGGTGGGCAGAGCGCTTCAGCCCTTCCCTGGAAATGCCCCGGGAGGAGCTGCCCCAACCCCTCTCCGGGCGGGCCCTCGGCAGCCCCTCGGTAGCCCCGCCGCACCGGAGCCCCCGCCGCTCTCATCACCGGGTGTGCCCAGCCCGGTGCAGCGGCTGGTCCCGACCCGCAGCCCGGTGCTGGCCCGCGCTTCCGGCGCCCGGGATGCTGTTGGCACCGAGGCCCAGCCTGGTGACCGTGCCAGCCCCCCGCACCGTGTCTCCCGGTGTCCCCAGCTGCCGGTGTTCTCCCGGTGCAGGCCGAGGGCAGTTACTTCTCCCGCCTTTGCAGCTCCCCGGTATCTGACAGCCCCGGAGCTGTTCCCCGGTGGTCGGGTGTCATTATGCCCGTGTACTCATCACTGAGCCAGCACCTGTGGCGCCGGTACCCCCACGCCAGGCCCGGGGTGTGATTCCTGGTGTGATTCCTCTCTGGCACGCAAGGTCCATGAGATCGGGACTGTTTCCTGTGCCTCACACACGACTCACCTGCTTGCGTGTGTCAGGCTGCTGTTTGCCTTTTGTCACACTGCTCTGAGCTGTTGACACATGTTTGGCTTGTGATCTTCTCCGTCCCACAGGTTCTGGTTTGCAGAAGTGCTGCCGCGTCATTAGTTCCCTGTCCTGCAGCTACACAGTCACTGGTACCTGCCTACACACAGAACTGCGTGTTTGACATCACTGAGTTGCTCTGCTCCTTTTCTGGTCACTTTTCCTGTTCGTCAGTCTTGTTGCAAGGTGGGCCCATGTCCTGCAGAATCCCTGCAGCCTTCCCCAGCCAAATGGCATCAGAACCCAGAGAGGAAGTACATGACTTCGTTAGCATGCAAGCATGAGGGATGGAGCCAGGAGAAAGCAGTGGTGCACTCCTCCAGCAGTGAGGCACCGCCAAGTGCAGCCCCGTGCCCCTGGAGTGGCTGCGTGGTCAAAGGCAGGGAGATATGGATGGCATTCCCCTGTCCTTGAATGCTGCCAGAGGAGGAAGCCAGGCAGGGCTGTGCATACACAGACGTGTGAGCTGTGATTCTTCCCTGTCCTTCTGGAGCCTGGGAACACTCGCCTGTTTGTTCCATGGTTTTCTTGGACTTGAAAGTTGAGATAGGTGGCCTCTAATTCTTCACTTCCTCTTTTTTTTTTTTTTTTTTTTTTTTTTGTTACTCAGAGCCAGTCCATATCTAGGGTATGCCCACAACACCTTTCTCTTCTGTGTTTGCTCTTTCTTGACACACTACACCCCCTACCTCACAGGCCAGTCCTCAGGGTGCGTTATGCCACTCGGATCACAATTTTAGATGTCTACAAAGACCTCCTACTGCAGTTGCTTCTTCCCTGCGGCACTTGCATAACTGCACCGGTGATGTACGTGGTGACATGTGGAGCGAGGACCACGCTCTCCTGGAGGTGACGGCCCTGGATGCCCACCTCCCGGGGCACCTTGTGCACTCTGTGGGTCACAGCACCCGCGCCCCGCTCGGCCTCCATCCGCAGCTGCCCTCATAGACGGGAAGGCGGCAGGGTGGGAAGGCCCCCGCGCCCGGGGAAGGGGTGGCAGGGGTACGGCCGAGGCTCCGTCCCCTCCCCGGCCTCAGGACGGTATGAGCCATGTCCTCCGACGGGTCCGGAAGCCGAGGCCTCTCCCTTGGGATGCACGGCACGGCGGAGCGGGGCGGGGGCCGGCTCCCTCCCCGAGAGGCCGCAACCTTCCCGCCCGCTACCGGGGCACGCTCGGCCGGTGGCGCTCCCCCCGCAGCTCCCGCACCGGCGGAGACGGCCTCGCCGGGGGGACGGACCGGCTCTCCCCGCCTCCT